AACCTCACTTGTTGTTGCCCCTAATTCACATGTTTCAGGCCACCCTCATAGTGTTCCGAATGTCGCATGCACGAGTGTAATGAAGATCGAATTTAAGTACCCTTAAAGCTGGGCTCTTTGTCCTGAGCAAAAGTGGGTTACTTTGTCGGTTGGCCACCTTCTAAACCACCACCGTGATGGGTGTGAGGGCAACAGATTGTGTATAGTAAGGAGTGCGTTGGTTAACCGTACCATTATATCGATTACAACTCTTCTTTCATCTGCTGTTAGAGTCAAGCCGGATGGTAATACGATTGCGCATAGTGACTGGCAAAACTAAACGGCTCACTACCTGGTTGTGCTAAATTACGCGCTAACTACCTAAGTCGGACAGGCATATTTGTTCCATACGAAGTTCCGCTCGGCATGCAGACTTTGACACATGATATGAACGTGTTCGTCAGAGGTTTGACGTTTCACACACACATGTCTGACCTAGTTGAATTGTGTTTAACCTGAGTTTGTTTTGAAGGAAGGACGAAGCCTTGTGATGTGGTCTAGACTGAGCTGCCTTTTATGACAATTTTTGCGCACGCGCGCATTGCCGAATAGGTTCACACCGGGCGGGTGAGTAAATCGTGGGCAGATGACCGATGTACGACAGGACTCAGCCTGCTAGTGAGTCGGAAACAGTGCGAGGGACAAGGATGTTTAGTGAAAATTGGAGTAACAGGTAAGTCGTTGACCGCAAAATCGTTAATCGATGTCGCTTTCGGGCCGCTATTTACTGTAGGTGTCCATCAGCGTGACGGGAACATGAAGCTGAAAAGAATGCGAACGAGTACATGAGCCTGTACTCTGTTTCTTTATGAATCCTTTCGAGACAGACGCATAAAGGGTGACGCGTGGGGTTGTTTTATCATTCGATTGAATCGTTCCGAGCAGTCGAATTTTAGCATAATATTTCAGGGTCGGTGTTGAGCAGCGGTATCAAGGATGTTTGTGAGATTCACGGAGGTGTTGTGGGAGATAGGCTGTATTTCATGCAATTGTGCTTAAAGTTGGCGGTCCTGTGTTCCACGAAGAGACGGGAGATGACGTTCACAGGGCTAAACGGAAGCCCCATTTTGGAGGAAACGATATGGTGGGGTGCTGATTAGACTGCATCCGCCATTGCCTTAACGCACCTCTGGGCATCACCGACGTGAACTGACTCCTATGTATGCTTAATAATGAAGGGCATTTTAGTGTATTCGTTTGATTTTATACACATGAACACACACAATTAGTCGTCGTCAAAAATGCGTGTAAGTAATATTTTCAGGTAGGAGGAGTCTGACAAATGTTTGTCGGCGATCATGACAATGACTCCTCAATTATGCTGTGGTGGATACTCTCCTCGACTAAAGAGTACTTCACCACGCGTATTTACTATCATAATATGACAAGGTGGCATTGTTCCAACATCGGTTGCAGTTGTTCATAGGGTCTTAGGGTCCCCACCGCGACGGTTAAAGTAACCGAAGTTTGCGATCCGCACTAGAAAGTGAGATCATAGTGTTGATCGTGCTGTCATTTCGTTGGATATGGAGACAGCCAATAAAAACCATTCAGCTTCTTAAGGTGTTTTGTGTTAGCACGTTTGCAAGACTTGAGCATTGGTCAACTGCATTCTGAGCTTGCCGCTTCAGCTTCAGTTCAAAGGTCACTGTTCGACTACCGGGGAAAAAATGCTTCAAATTTTCATGCCTGTTCATTTGGCTTAAGTGTTTTGTGGGACTCTAGATTTTTCTGAAGCACTTGCATGAAGAATACCATGCGTCCTTGTGCCGTTATTCTTTTTGTGCTATCAACTTCTGTAGTAAAATCACCATAGAAGACTCGCCTTGGCAATTATTTTCACGTTGCTGCCTCTCCATTGAATCTGGGCCTGGTATAGCATTGCAGAGATCCGGAGTATCTTAGTTGATGTCATTTTCATTCGGTCAATCCCCTTCCTCCTTCCTTCGGTAGTCAGACGAGCGATAATTTGAGATTGGAGAAACTCCAAATTTTGTGCTCATACTGGCGCCAGGCTATTCTGCACTCTCTATATGTACTGTTCTTCGTCCTAAACAGGCATGGCAATACTAACAGTGTAACCGTTAGGCAAGCACTGGACACCATAAATATAAATAAAAAAGCACCCATGCCTTATGCAGACCTACACACATATATAAGCTCTAATTTCCTTGAAATTAAATTTCTTGGGATGCCTGCCTTTCAGTTTATACGATATAAGCTCTAAGTTACAGGACATCCATCGTAATTTCAGTGTCCGCATTTTAGCGAATAATATTTCGCTTATCTCTTCGCTCCATCCTCTGCTAGAAAAGGGCCTTTGAAAACATTACCACTCCGTTTTTTTAATCGAAAGAAGAGAAATTTTAGCTAAGGGCAAATAGAGATAGCATCTTGGCCAAAATATGGTCAGCCACAGCGACATTCAACTGGAGGCCTCTCTTCCACCGCTCAACCGATCTTCACACCCACCAGGTATTGACGACTGTCTCACTCTCATAGTGTCTGTGGATTCTGGCCTGTACTCGAAATCTGCGGTAACCGTAATCTGCGCCCTTTATTGTGTCCCAGATGACACACAGGGGACAGAGGATGCAGTCGAGGTACTTGATTAATATGATACCACCAGGCCGGGTGCAACAGTAACACATGGCAAATCGCTGTCCGTACAGTTTCGGATTGCGCCACTCCTCCTCATGGCGCTTCGGGATGCAGGTTGGACACCCAGTGGGACACTGGTTAATGAAGGCCTGTAGGCGGTAGTAGATCGCATCAAACGGCTTTTTCGGCATCTGGCAGAAGGTGATGCATTCAAAGAAGGAACAGAATAGACAGCAATTGGCACTGTTAGGCTCCGCAACGTCTTCCGCTTCTTCTTCTTCTTCTTCATCATCATCTTCATCGTCCGGACTTTCGGTATCACCGTCATCGTTACTGTCGTAGTCATCGGTGGATTGATCTGTGGAAGCCAAGTTATTCACCTGTGTGTTATCTGCGTCCGTTTCAATGTCCCAATCAAGTTCAGAACGTAGATCTGAGTTAAAACGCTGTAGACTCTTCTGCAGGCTTGAAGATACCCTTCTCAGAAGGTGGACAAACTGTTCAGATAGGGCAGTAGTCATTGCTAGAAGCTGAGCTCATTCTTCATATATTAGCAATTTCTTGGTTTTCTTACCCTCTGTAAGATGCTTTCGCATGTTGGTAGTAATGAGGGGAAATGAGGCCTCTGAAGGCTTCAGCCGTGGGTTGCATTCGGCTGCCCATTCACGTGGTATTGATTTATGCAGTGTCGACACTTGTCAACTTATCTAGCTTAAACCCATGCAGGCAATGTGCGTCCTTCAATTGCTCATCAACTTTTTACTGGCAGCAAAAGCCCTTCCGTTCGAAAAAAAAACATCCGAGCGTTTCTTCTAATTCATTTGACACGATTAATTGACCGTAGTCAACGGGCTCGAGAGGAATCGGAAATTCACTCTGCAGTAGCATGACTTCTTTTCATTCGCCACATCAACTAACCTGCAGGGGAATTCACTCAAAATACGAGGAAACTTATCCCATGTAGATGTTCAGAAAAATTCATTTCACAGCTAGTCGTCTGTGCCTGAAACGGTCTGCCCGAGGAACACGACACACTCATTTAAACATAATCTTGATGTATATTTACTTAACAGCTACGGTTTATCTGCATAGGAAAGCACTGTTTGATCATATAAACATTTTACTCACACGTACAGATGAAGTTAATATCTAGTATTTTGAGATTTCATTTCCGATCTCCAGAATTACTATGCGTAAATTCCACCGTTACGAAAATGTGTACATGGGAATATGTTAATCCGGATTTTACAGAAACATATTTTAGGTATTTTGGCTATTTTTATATACCGTTCTTAGTAGGGTCTTCAAAGACGATACCTATTACCCTAAAAATACAGAACCATACAGAATTAAGCTATTTTGGGACTTCACATGCAAGAGAAATATTAATTCCAAATACATTGTCCCGGTACGATGTAAAACCACCGTTTTAAAACCACAGTTTTATTTTTTTCCGCAAGTGATATCTTCGGTTAAACAAAATTTACATTTAAATTAGAATTCTAGCAGTATAAACAATGCGGTCGCTGAAACACAAAATACAAAGTGCTGAGAATAGGAAAATCCGGCTGATCCACCAGTTCTATGGTAGAAACAGAAGATTTCAAGATTCAGCCCTTTCGATGTGTCTCCTTGTGTAAAACTGTCAGGTCCAGTAACTCCAGAGAAAATCTCTAAAACGCGAAGGACCGGTGCTTTAAAAAATGGACATTCACAAACAGGCATCTTTCAGATAATCTCTTCACCTCTTATAATTTAATGTTCGGTTTGATGATAGGCTATCGTAACGGGATCCCTTTGTAATACAGCCGATTGTGCTCTTCTAATTCCAGGGTGATATAGGATAGGGGGGACAAGGAAATAGGTATCCTCCCAACTATAAGCGCAAGGTCATCTGTTTCACGGGGCAAAGGGTTCCTATTCACCTTTCCTATCTCTGTTTGTACTCTTTGCATCAGCTTACTCTCCACTCTACAATGATACTTGACTGAACTAGACCTTTGTTGTTTCTCTGCAGTCCGACGCTCTCCTAACTCCCGACGGCACAAATGAGGTTACTCAGTGCATAGGACCTCACGCGAAGGCCGTTTTCGGCGTGCCTCGGGCCAGGCACAAACTGGCGCGCGACCCCTCACTGCTGGCGAACGAACGCACCGTGTCTCCCCCGTCCTGACCT